ACACCATTTGGGGAACATGGGGGTTTGCACATCCCCCTTTTTGGAGGGAAAAATTTTTAGGAAAAAACCTTTAATTTGGGGTTTTAAAAAGGATTTATAGGCGGACACGAAAAATGGAAACCCACGGACCGACCGACGCGGGCAAAGCGGGAAACCCTTACAGCCCCCCCCCCCCATTTTTGTGTTGGGGTTTTAATAAATTCAATAAGTTTTCCACCAAAGGGTTTTCCTTTGGGAAATTTTAAAATTTAAAATTAAAAAAGTATAGAAATTCCCCCCTTTTTAAAAACGATGGGCCCTTTAAGAGCTCCCAAATTTTTGGGCCATTTTAAAAAAGAACGCGTTGGGGAAATGAGAATGGATTTGGTTTTAATTCTTTTCGTATTTCGGGCAGACCTTTGGGGGGGGAAAAAATGTTTAAATTTATCAAAATTTTCCAAATTTTCTTCATGAATTTCATCTTCATTTTAAATTCTGTTTGAAATTCATATTTTTAACCTCACGAATTCCCCTGAATTCCGATTTCCAAAATTTTTTTTTTTTTAAATTTTTCCGGAAATTTTTAAAAGTCATTTTAATTTAACATTTTAACTATAACCCATTTTAAAAAGGGGCGGGAAATTTAAAGATTTCATCTTCAAAGAAAGTTGAAATCGTAAATTCACCCAAAAATTTAAAAAACGTGAAATTCAAAAAATTTAAAATTTTTGGAAAAATTAACTTCCCCGAAAAAGAAAAAATGAATTCCCTGAATTTTTTAAAAAGGGCGGGGAAAAATTTGTGGAATTTTTTTGAAAGGGGTCTTGGGTTTGATGAAAATTAAAAATTTTGAATCAGAAAAAAACAAAAAAATTTTAAACTTTTAATTATAAACCCAAATATTTACTTTTCTCAGGATAAAAAATAAAAAAACCAAAAAATTCCCGATTAACCCTTAAATTCCCCGGGCTTTTAAAAGTAAACAGTGGGGAAAAAAACCAGGGGGAAAGGGAAAATCCCAAACCCCGTATTTTTAAAGGTTTAAAAAAAATTTACCTTTTTTTAAAAAAAATTAAATTTTTAAAAAAAAAAACAAACCCAAAAAAAAAATATATTTTTAAACAAACCGGGGGATAATTTCAATTTAATTTTTTCAAATTAAATCCCCAAAAAATTTATTTGTTCCCTAAATTTAATCCCCTCATCATTTTATCTCAATAAAATTCCAAACATCCACCCATCTATCAAACATCAATTTATCATCCTAAAAATCGTCGTCGTTTAAACGTCATCCCTTCCCTTTGTCTTTATGATCTTTAAAATCAATGGTTAAAACGTCCCTCGTCAAACATGTCATCGCCCCCGGGGGAAAAATTTTTCCCAAAATTTTCCCTATCATCGTCATCGTCAAAATCATCAATAAGCCATCCCATCATCATTCCATCATCGTCTTCATCATCATCCAATGATTATTATTATTATATATTATTAATTATATTTTAATATTATTATTATTATTATTAAATTATTATTATTATTATTATCATTCATCATTATTATCATCATCATTATTATTATTATTTATTTACTCATTATTATTACTATTGTTATTACCATTATTATTACCATTATTATTATTATTATTATTATTATTATTATTAAATCAAATCAAATCATTATTATTATTATTATTATTATTATCCAATCATCATCATTTCTATTATCATTTTGTCCAATCGAGCTTCACACCCAAAAGACATTACCTAGGATTGTAAATATTCCCCAGTGACTATCAAAGCAAAACTGCCACAGACAGGTAAATTGTTCCAACCCATTGACAACTGTAAAAAAAATTTGGGGGCCCTGAAAATATCCCAAAACCTGAAAAATAATAAAAATGGGAAAAGGGGAAATTCGGGGTTTTCGTCTTCGTCCCTTAAAGGTTAAATCATCTAAAAATGGGGAAATTTTTGCACTATTTTTTAGCCCAAATTTGAGTAAAAAAAACCCGTTGCATTGTTTTTTTAATTTTTTGGGTCATTTTTTTCCCAAAAAAGAAAAAATTTTATTCTAGTAAAAGGGAATGAGTAAAAGGGATCTGATTTTTTGGGCAAAACCCCGTTATTGGTTTCCAAAAACCTTTTTAAAAATAAAAACTTTAATTTTCGTAAATTATTTAAACCCAAACTAAAACCCTTAATAAACCTCATTTTTTGCCCTTTTCCCCGCTTTAATCCCTTTTAAATTGGGGAATTTTTTTTCCTCAGTGGAAAAACCCTTTAAGATTGTTAGTAATAGACAAGTAAAAAACCAAGCGTTTAAAGGCCCATTATGCCAAAGGAATTATTTTATTTTCATTTTTTCAAAAGTTTTTTTTTCTTCTTTTTTTTTTTTTTTGGTGGTCCTGTTATATATTTTCCAAAAAAGGTACTTATTGGCCAATTACATGAACCATCTTTTGTTTCTATTGCGTTTTGCCAATTAGTACATTTATTGTGATTTAATATTTTGTATGAAAATCAAAATACTACTTTGTTTACATTTTTCTACTTTTAGGACAGATAATTTCACATCCCATGTATTTTCTTCGGGTTGTAAGCATCTAACATGTGATAAAGCCATTAATTGTATCATAGTTTGGGGTCATTTCTGTTAAATATTATGTCAAGAGTTAAATCATGCACAGTGCGTCAACTGGAGTGCAGGTATTAAAGTTACCCGCACTCCAGAGCATAGCTATTGATTAGCTCATTTTGTCTGGGGTTTACATATTGTGACGACAGAGCAAGGGATAGCTATACATATATCATATTTAGATGATAGTTCATTGGTTATCTGTTTCTGGGGGGGGGGTATATTGTGACAACAAGAAGGAAGGTGTTTTAATATTAATTTGCATATGATACAAAAGAGAAAGAACATCAAAACACTCGACAGTCTGATTTATACTCGGGAGGTAGGCCTGCACATTAGATATCCACGTTTTTTGATGCTATTTCTATTACATAAACTTTATAATACAAATATTTTTCCTCTTCAAATGAATGAAAAATGTATTCGTTTCTTTGGCATAATGGGCCTTTAAAATGTGACATAATAGAAATACGTACGGCTAACTTGGTAACTATATACAAAATCACGGCGAGGACGCTGAGATAAATCCGTATTCTCTGACCACCAAATCTTTTAGTCATGTACTCTGGCATTGTATAGACCTAAAATATGATTTTTGTCTTTAGAATAACACATAACTTTACGCACGTCTTAAAGTCTGGTGTATCTGATACATGTATTAATGTCTTACTAAAGTCTTCGTCTTCAGTACTGTTATATTTTTCTTGTCCTTCGGAATCATTGATTTCAGTACTTTTAAGTGTTGCGAATTGGGTACCACACCAGCCGGTACCAAGGGGCGTGATTAATGTTACATTTTTCATTATCCCTCATGGACAGACTCAATCAAACCCAGTTTTGCAATTTTCATGTAATTTGTTGTGATTAAGGCTTCCAAGGGATCACCCTTTTTCCAGATTTTCATTTGTGGTTATTTTTAAGAAAAGAACATAAAGTTTATTTTTCACATGAGTCCGTACATAGATGGCACATAATGTTTGCAATGTGATCAAAATAATCATAATTTATTTCACACCTTATAAAACTTCCAACGTTTGCAACATGTGTTCTTCCAATATAAATACATTGTAATAATTTTATCTACTTTTACGAATTAAGCCTCATTTTTATTTTTCGAGTCCAAACAAAATCAATATCAAATACATATTGTACTCCTTCTATCCTCGTTTTCATTTCCCGTATCCAAAATATCCATATAGAATCCATACTTTCTCCATCTAGCCTCGTTTGCAATTTTCTGGTTAAAGAAATTCGTATAAAATCATATTGTACCCGAAAAAACCTTTGTCGCCATTCATTATGTTTGCACGAGTCATGCTCCACGCAGTGATTTGACGCTTTTTGAAATTCTATAAAATCAAGCGCCTAATCACTGTGATTTGATATCGTCTGCAACGAACGATTTTGTTTCAACAGTATTTTTTTTATTCAAACCGTAAGGAATATCTGACTTACCCCCGCAGCAACATAGACAGGTACAAATATCCACGCTAGAACAACCAAAAGTGGCATCGCCTTTTCCAGTAATAGAAAAGAACAAATAGTTATGAAATATTGCTTTTACTTTATTTGTTTTATAGTAATGGCAGATCGCTGCTGTGATGGAAATTTAAATTTACTGATTACATGTACTACAAGTCAACTATAAATTTGGTTGGCAATTCTATGTTACGCAGATAATGCCAATTTAACTGCTATAGACTTACTGTCCATTGACTTGAGAAACTGTTACAGGAGATTTTTCAGAAAATATTTTGAGCGGTTTAAAAATGATAGCTTCGACAAAATCCGTGACAATTGTTGCATTATCTTTTTTTCTCAAAAATACCTCACGTTTGAAATAAATAGAGGAATTTCGTGATATACACATAGACAATTATTAGGGCCAAGAATGCAAAATATCAACAACGTGCGTCATAACTTGACCAAACTATTCCAGTCGAAGTGAAAACGCTGCCGTTGTAGTAAAATAAATATTTTCGAGGCTGTCGTTAATAGAAACGCCCAGACAGTAAATTATGATTATTCATTTAAACTTTACTTTTGTTATTCGTATTGCACCTTTCTTCACGATTGAACTATCATGAAAAACGCAACTGGAACCGAAATGAATTGACCAGTACATGCAGTATAGAGTCAAGAGTCAAGTCAGGTTCTGTATTGTTGACTGACTAACTTTTTTCAATTTCTACCAAAGGCTTGATATTTACTTTCCGGATTGATATGGTCAGTTCCAAAATGGAAGCTGTAAATTTTCATTTTTCAAATTTAGCAGGTTAAGGATTAGCTTGTCTTACCAGTGTCAGTACTGTCAATTGCTAAAGTTTATTCTATTTGTTTTTGTGTGTGTATTTGCGTTTATTTATACTCGCCACCGATTGCCCATATGGGCCAGTCCTCCAGAGGAATATTAGTCATTTTAGATTTTGGAGGATAGTTCAATTACAGATACAGAAAGACACAAAAACTCCAGAAGCTTCTCCTGCATGGTTCTTTAGCGTGCCACGTGTTTAAGCACTCATACACGGGACCTCGATTTAAAGTCTCATCCGAAAGAATAATTAGTAATTTTAGTTGGCCAGCCCGGAATCGAGCCCACAATGTTGAGATTACAAATCTCTCGCTCTAACCGACTGAGATATGCGGACTGGCTAATTTGTTTTTCTTGCAGCCCATCATATTTATACCTTTCTTTTACATGTATAATAAATCGAGTATTGAAAGTAAACATGGTAAAGCGCGATTTGGCAAACATACCCCTAGGTTGTTATTTGCAAACAAAGTGTGAAATTATATTTCTCACTTTTAATGGATAAAAAAACGATTTTGAAACGTTCATGCTTTGCAGAAATCACTTAATTCTGTTATATACAAAAAATGAATATTAAAGAAAAAAATTCTCTCAAAATTTTCCTACAAATTAAATATGATTTTTTCAAAATTTCATACAGAATTTAAAAAGGACGAAAAATGAAACCCGCTTGGTTTGCATTACTAGCGTCATATACTAGTATATACCACATCAATGAGTAGCTGTAAAAATGTTTCCTTCTTATTGAGAAGGAAATTACATTTTTAACGTCTGCCCTTTGATGAAAGGGCGGACATCTCTTTGTCCCTTTCTCGTATGAGAAGGGGAATCCTGTGATGCGTGTATGTGGCCGCACGGTCACTGTTCCTTCCAAAATGTCCTCGGTCGAAATCTCTAATAAAATTACAATGTTTTCAAAATGATTTGGTATGAACTGCCTGTTGCTTAATTTAATAATACATTAAACATCTAACTCTAAGTAAGGAAAAAACAACATACTAAAAAGTATGTTTTTGTTTAGGAGTTGTAAGAAGTGCAGAAATAATATGCATACATAAAATCTTAATTAGGACTTCTTAAGTAGTTTCTAAACTTTAATTAGGAAAAATAAAATCCTTGTTTTAGAATTGCTTTGAAGTAAGAACACCAATTAAAAAGTCCTACATAGAATTTTAAGCCTAATTAGGCTTTTTATCTTAAAAAAAGTCGTATGCAGGAGATAAAAAGTCTTACGTAGAAGTTTGAAAGTCCTACATTCTTTTGAACTCCTAATTACACCTCTCCTACGTATGAGTTAAAAAGTCCAAAGTCGGAGATAAAAGAGCCTAATTGGTTGTTATAAACTTGTAATAAACTCCTAATTAGGCTTTTTTTCATTTCTCATATAGGAGTTAAAAAGTCCTACGTTGGAGTTTTAAACTCCTTATTTGGCATTTTTATCTCCTACATAAGAGTTACAAACTCCAAATTAGGTTTCATATTTTTTTTATAGAACATTATGAATTGGTACCAGGGCGTTTCCGTTTAAAAGTCATTCGTAGGATTTTAAAACTCCAAATTCGGCTTTTTATATCCTATGTATGAGTTTAAAAGTCCTACGTATGAGTTAAACAGCCCTGCGTAGGAATTTAAAAGTCCTAAGTAGGAGTTTTCAACTCTAATTAAGCTTTTGTATAGTTTTTCTCTACGTTCTTATTAGTTTTGTTTATCTCCTAAGTGGGGGTTAAAAAGTCTTACGTAGGATTAAAACGCCTTATTAGGCTTTTCTATCTCTAAGTAATTAGGAGTTAAAATGCCAACTTAGGAGTTTTGGGAGTTTTAAACTTCTAATTAGGTTTTATTTTTTATAGAACATTATGAATTGGCACCAGGACGCTTCCGTAGTAAAAGCATACATATCTTCTTAATTAAACAGAAGTTAACATCGTATAAAAATAGAAATAAAGAAATAGATGTCTTCTTACTGTAAATGTCATGGAACCTTCAATGTGCCGATCATGAAACGCGGCGTATAGTCCCTAAGTTAAATAATACATGTGACCATAAAATATAATGGGTGAAATTAAATAAATTTGAATTTTGAATGGGGGTCAAAAGTTAAGAAGCCAGCTTATAACAAACAAACTGCCAAAATAAAGTAACAGCGACCCTGTAATAGTAACCCTGCGACTTTCTGGATTTCATGATGCGGGAAGACATCAGGTTTCCTATCATAGCATTCGTTCAGGCACTGGCTGGTACCCGCGTAGAACCAATCTATATAGCTAAAAGGTTTCCACACTTGAAATAATTCAAAGAACGAGCATCTACCGGATTCAAATAAACAGCAGTAAGGGGTTGATTAAACAATATCTAGTAATGCAACAGTATATGGCGAATTAGGAAGATATTCACTTGATGTAAATAAATATATTCAGTCATATAATAAAATGTTGCTATAAAGAGCTTATTTCTAATAATATCATTTTGAAATGTGTGTATACAAATACAAATGCAAGTTAAATTAGTGTTAAAAATAATTATAATCTGGGTGTTTAAAGTACATGTATTAGGAAGTTTTGATGAATTTGGTTTATGTTTTGGAATAAATTATTGTCCTGAACTTTGTAATTCAAAAGAATTTGTTTCAATTTCTAAACAAAGAGTATTTGTTGTTTACTAACACACATGGTTTTCAACAATGTTTTGAATACTTAATATAGACATATCAAGCAAATATTTTCTTTTGGATGTTATTAAGATAAAATTAAGTGTATTACGTGAAGACAACAATTGACAATTATCTGCGTATAATCTAAGAATAAATCTTGCATGTATGGTACCAATAATGAAACGTGAATATTATAACAGCATTAATATGAGTATGAGTTATACCATTTAACACTGTACTTTTATAAAATTATAAAATTTGTAATAATGATAATTATGCTTACAAGCCATTCATATAGTACTATGGCGTACCCACTTGCCGCCCCTGTCCCAGCAAGGCCTACAAAATGTTCACTGCCTATATTACTAGAGAACAATGATGCACCAACCTATAATCAATGTAATATAAAGTTTTGATCAATTCTACGTCATGTACTGCAACGTAAAGTTCAGCTTTATTTCGTAACCCTACGTCGAAAATTGAATATTGGTAAAACACGTTTCTTTCGCGAATTCGATATTTCGCAATCTTCCTTCTGAAGCTGATTTGTTCATTTATATCGTATTTTAACTTAAAAACATAGTCAAAGAATTGTGCGATTTTTAGTAAATGTTTCATTAAGTGTGGTATACAACCTCAATTACAACATACAGGATCTTTAAATTTTGTTTCCAATGCTTCGGAGAGAATAAGATAGAAAAGCATTATTTGTAAAAGAAAATCAATCTGACAGTTTTTTTGTTTTTTTTTTGTAAAATTTCTATTTTAAACTCATTTTTCTTATATTTGATTTTGTTGTTATTGTTGTGATTTATTTAGAAACATATGATTTACCGGTATCCATGACATTGAACGTCCAGCAAGGAAATAACCTCGGACAGTCCCTCGATTCGGACGGCACAAACTCTGTTGAAAGAGAATTATCATAATAAAAGTACATAGATCTTGAACTTGTTATTAGTCGGGGTTCTGGTGTTTCCCCTTACTTGAATCTGCATATACATGTACATGTAATTTAATCTGTATTCGGAAATTTTGTTTTGATTATGTCTCAGAAATCCATATTATCTTTAATTCTTTAAAAATGTCACATGGCAAATAACTCTTTTTTTGAAAACTCCACCAAGATACCATTTTTTTATTATTTTTTTTTTTGAGAAATAAAAGTGATAGCTTATCTAAGGCATTTTGGACCTTTAAACTTACGAATGTTGATTTTATTAGTTTTATGTTAGCAAGGTTACTTACCCAAATTCCCACTAGCAACACTAGAACAAAATAAACAACAACAACTGAAATATCTCCCCAGTGAGTAATCCTCCGTGACTCCATATTCGAGTTTAAACTTAACTATTTATTTGAAGCAATATTTCTTTGCCTTCATAAATGGCTGTTGTTTACCATTATATTAAAGATTAAAGTTCTAATATGATAGTATTCCTGCATATAATTTTCACAAATGACCGTTGTGTTGTTTATATATGTAGATAAAACACCTTAAAGTCGTTGAACTGAACAAGAAATATAGGACACAAGATAACGCTCAAATAATTATAAGACAAAGGTGCTATCTACTATGATCAACTATATCAATTGACCTGTACATAGCATTTTTTCTCTCGCCACGTTTCGTGTAATGACATAAGTATAGTTTAAGTTTAAACATAATTTATTTCGAACAAATTCACAATATATATACAGACAATAATGTACACAATACAAACATGATATATTGAAAAAGGATTGGGTCCGAAAGCTGAGCTTATAAAGTCCTTCTCCTTATAGATTTACAGTGCATAAAGTACGTATGACAGTATAAGTGACTTGCTTGAAATATATCTGATTTTACATTGTTTTTAAGAAGTTAAAGATATCATAACTAAATGTTAGAAACAATTTTGACATAAATATAATGAATTAGAAACTGTTTTGACGTTTTTGTCAACCGGCAAGGCAAACGATCTTCACTTTTTCGTATGCAGTGGGTTTATCCAAAAGGTAGGGCTAAATGAAAGAATGTTTAAGAAGCGCCTTTGAATATGTTATTCATAATTTAATTCACTTGCATGCTTCTGGAAAGAACGGCTTCTTTATCTACCCTTTTTTAACGAAGCCTTTGGCTCACATGTAATACTTTTACAAGTACTGTAGTATATTTAATTTATAGGACAGTGGTGGCCTAGGGGTTAAGGTGTCTGCCTCTCTACCCATGGATCATGGATTTGAGCCCTAATCGGGACACGACCATGTTTCTTTATATGAAATCAGTACTGATTGGGGTTAAAGGAAGCGGATTCGAAAGTGATTATTATAAGTTGAATGAACTTGTTTCGCAAACGAGCTTAAATAACTATGGTTTCACCAAACCATAATATATACATGTGTACGTTAGAAATTAATACGGTCATATTAATTCATAGAAATATTAAATGGTACCACTTTTCAATTTCTTACATAGTTTAATACAGCAGGATTAGAAGATTGTTTCAGGATGTTTATCTCCCCTTATTTGATTTGTTTTGGGATACATTGTAAAAGGACAAACAACTACCAATTAGGTTAGCCGAACCCTAAAGAAACTCCGCTAAGCTCGAAAAGTCTAAAGCATAAAAATTTGATTTTTTAACAAAGATCAGCTCGGGCAGTTATAATGACATGCAACAATTAGTCAATATACTCAGAAATAGATTGACAATCGTATGTGTGTGCAAAGCCCGTTAGAGTCAAAATGTGGCAACGCTTTTCACTTTTAGGGTAAAAATCATTGCATTACATCTTATACAAAAAGTAAACTGCTCGATTTCAGAACCTGGTGTATTGTATTTACTAGTTCTATTTTGTTCTGGTCCTATGAGATCAAAGAAATGAATATTTAGTGTCAAGAAATAAATCCTGCTTCAGTCGGTGCCAGGGGGTCAGAGCGATGTTGCAACCTTCATTACCTCTCAAGAACAGACTCAATCAACTAGTCTATTTTTATTTGCATTTTATCTTCTCTGCTCGAGGAATCATGATTTATAAATTCAATTTAGTTCCTATATCACTTATTATTAAAGAGATCAGATACATACTAGACTAGACGTAAGAACCGTTACAAGTCAGATGGGCAAAATGTTGCAATAGTCAAAACTCGTGGAGGGTAATGTTTGTAAATATGCCCACGCTTTGAGACTTGCATGTCGCCTTTACTGGAATTAGGTCACATGATCACAAAAAATAAAGGATCAGGATCAAATTTGAATACTAAAAATTCTCCATTTTTGTATCCTGATAGATTAAATAATAAATATTAACTTGATCAAATTAGACTTGAAATAGCATATTTAAGAAATTTTAGAATAAATTATTATAATAATAATAATAATAATAATAATAATAAAAAAAAAAATTAATAAATAATGATGATGATAATAATAATAATAATAATAATAATAATAATAATAATAATAATAATAATCATTATCATTTGCAAAATACCGGGTATAGTCATTTCACCTTTGGTGCAAATATTGATCCTGATCCTAAAATTGATCCTATTTTTGATCGATTTTTGTGTGTGTATTTTTTTTTTTATTTATTGTTGATTATTCATCCCAAAATAGGTTTCTTTGCAAATCAGCAGGTTGTTTTTTACATTTTGAACTTGTATCATAGTTTGGGGACCTTTCTGTTGAAAATGTGTCAGAGTTAAATCGTATACATATACATGCACAGTGCAATAACTGGAGTGCAGGTATTAGTTACCCGCACTCCAGAGCATGCCCATTGATTGGCTCATTTGTGCTGGGGTTTACTTATTGTGACGGCAGAGAAATGGAAAGCGATAGAAATATCATATTCAGATGGTCATTCATTGATTACTTTTTTCTGGAGCTTTATATTGTGACAACAGGGAACGTGTGTTTATGTTTGACTATGCTACAGAAAAGAAAGAACATCAAAACACTCGGCAATCTAATTAATACTTGGGGGCTACGCCTCCTCGTACAAATCAGATAGCCTCGTGTTTCGACCTTGACCCGTAATAGAGAATGCAGCTTCACATACATAGTTCGTACATCTTTTTAAAAATCAAATTTGACATATTCAGTACGAATTGCATATATTTCGATAAATTTTTCCATTAAAACAATTACTCAAAAATAATCTGAGTATATAGTTCAGCTTACCTCTGACTTTCCAAAATTGAAAAAAAAACTTTTAAAAGTAGACATAAGATACCTCTGCCTTGCAACTGACCAATAAGCAAGACGTCGAATTCATTCAATTGCTTCCTTGCCAAGTGTGTATCCATTGCATGTTTAACGAGGATCAATCCGCCCGGTAATTCACAAAAAGCAGCTTCGCTGTCGAGCACAGAATATCTGAATAATAAGTTAACGCCACAAGAAAGAGCAATGAATGGCACTGTTTCATGTGCAGGAATTTTGCAGACGACACATTTGAGTCATATGTGTTTCGCAGTTTAGGTTATTCAAATGTTATTTTAGATCAAGATGTGAATGATTCGTCTGTTTCTGCGAGGTATGTAAAAAAAACCCCAGCAGAATGAAAATTGAATGGTACAATTGCAGGAATTTTGCGAATATAATTTATTTGAAATAATGAATGTACACGTTACATCTGTCGAAACGACAAAAGTTTGACGTTTTAAATGATGACAAAAATAATTACACACATTAATATAAAACGAAATTCGGCCGCTGTCCAGTACTGATCTTCTAACCAACATGCACCATTGATCTCAAACATATATATTTCACCAGTAGCAAAGGGCGTAGGTGGTGTATATACCGAATACTTTTCTCAAGTAACTTTTTATTGTTACTGTTACTGGGGCTTTTATTTAATGTAAAAGCACTTGCTTAGTATTTTCTTTTTTTTATAAAAGAGATACGCATGTTTATTTTCATTTTCTGTCTACTACTATAATAGACCATTTTGTAATTAAATTCAATATTTCGGCTTCTTAGTATAATTATGTTAGTGTTCATCCGTGCTGTCCTACAGAAATTAGAAAGATAGCGACAGGAGAATGTTTTTAATTTCTGAAGAACAGCTACGGATGAATACTAACATACTTAGTGTCAAGCTTTATTTGGCCTCATTATTATTCTTACGTCACTACGCGGTTCTATGAAGTACAATGTACTATAAAAAATAGAAGGCGACTATGAACGGAATTCGATAAATTATCGAATTTTGTTCTTCTATGAAAATTAACAGACACAATTTTAAAGAAATACAGCGTTTCCATTGGATGACAAATAAAGCTGGGCACTAAATATTTAAAGTTGTTATATTTCAATTTTCAGTGGCTAGTATTGTATATCAGTTGCAAAAGTAAAATTGATTTTAGTGGTGTTTGACCCATACGTTTTGGGTTCAATTTAATGTCAGACACTCACATTGATTTTCCCATAAACTTAGATAATAAGAAATGATCCCTAATCCTACCTAAAAATTGAGTTTTCATGCTTAAGAGGTGACTTTTCTAGCAGAATGAAATGTCTGACTTCCTGTTATATAGGGTTAACCAACCATCTTTTTTGCAAAATGACCCCCCCCCCCATTTCATTGAAATTGTCTGCTGATCACAGGACTTACATACACGTTTTATAAATGCAAATTTCCAAGTCACAAATTATCATAGAGACTCATGAAATATTTCATTTTCTTCAGAAGACAATGTAGTTTTACTTTCTAAATTAGTTTTCATACTGAAAAACACCCCATTTTTATCCAATCACCTCATGTCCTCCCACGTTTACACTATTTTGTAAACGTTTACACGATTGCTATGAACCGAAACGATACCGTTTAAACGGTGGTACTTCCATGTGCTATACTACCCTACGTATTCAAGTCGCCAAATGATGGCTTACTTTCTATTTTAATACATGTACAAATAAATAATGTTCAGGGCTCATCACGTTTGTGTCGGCACACATTTTGTGCACTGTAACCCCATTTCGCTCTTTTGAAAGATTAAAGGAAAATCAATTTAACCAAAAATCTATTATGTAACGAACAATTATTGCACAGTAATGATGTGTGGGTGGTTGTAAACATCAATTTTCCGTATTTAACCTTGGAATAAACCAATCAGAATTGATAAAATCCATGATAACGGGCAATGATTAAGATATTTTGTAAGACAATATGGTCATTTCGTTTAAACGGTAAAATAATCGCAAACGTTTACGAATGAAAATCGAAACGAATCCGTTTAAACGTGTAACCGTGGGGGCCTCCTATTGATTCTTACGGTTTTCCCGGCACTTTTTTAGCCAATCACTGGGCATGTTACAATGCGAAAGTATGACCTAAAAGGGTATGCAGACGACATGAAAATTAATATTTCTCCGTATTTGAATTTTATTCAGATTGTGCATTGTTTAAGAAGGAAGAAACAATGTAGCATCTGATTTAATTTTTGATTCTTATATATTTTTCATAGTTTTCA